AATTTATTTTGGTACTAGTAAAGATTTCAAAGGACTGAAGAGATGTATGTCTCTCTACAGACCGGGTATGTCCACAGATTTGTTGGAAGACAGTGATGCCACTATATCCACAGGAAAAGGCATAGTAAAATAATCCTCAGATCAAGCCCTATATGATGGAAGACTAGGAAACCATCATCAGAAAAACACCATATCTACAGGAAAGACTGAAGTAAAATAATCCTCAGATCAGGCCCTAGATGTTGGAAGACTAGGAAACCATCACCAGAAAAACACCATATCTACAGGAAAGACCGAAGTAAAATAATCCTCAGATCAAGCCCTAGATGTTGGAAGACTAGGAAACCATCACCAGAAAAACACCATATCTACAGGAAAGACCGAAGTAAAATAATCCTCAGATCAAGCCCTAGATGTCCCTTTATTTCATTATAATTTTCTTATAATTCCGGATCTTTTGTAGACATTACTTTTTATAAAAAAATTACACAATTGGTATGGTAGACTCAGAGATTTATTTTACGGTATTTCATAATCTTAAAATATTCAGCCACAAAACATATACAGTATTAAATAATAGCATGACTGGACTATGAATCCGAGGGATTATGGATCCAGTCACGTAACAATAACCCAAGAACTGCCTGAGAGTGTTGCTAACTAACTATCTTCTCTCTAGTCTATCATCTTAAAATTAGAGACACCTAAGCTCAAATTACCTTTTTGTAGTTTTGGGCAAAAAAAAGCTGATGTTTGTTTGTTATTGAGCACAAATCTACACAAAGGGCTATATGTGCTCTGCCCACCTCAGGTATCGAAACTCGGTTTCTAGCGGTATAAGTCAGCAGCTATACCACTGTGCCACTGGGGAGGGGGCGAAAAGCTGTAGCACAACCAGACAACGAAGAAGCTAGAAGATCGATATTTATTAGAAGAAATCTTAAAAATTATTGTTTCATCTTTTCTGCTCCTTCTTCAATCCTTTGCATCCTCCGCAACCACGTGATTTAACAGAAGAATTCTATTTGCTGAGGAGCATTTACAATAATATCCTGAATGATCTTATATTAAAGCACTCAGTTTACATTTTAAACTTATCTTTTTCCAACGTCATCAAATTTCGCTGCAGTTTCTTTCTTTTTCTTCCAGTGTTAGTTGGTTCAAAAATTTAGACTGTAATATTAGGTATATCATTTAAAATCATCAAGTTTTTTATAAACACGATCTAGTTAACCTATCGTAACTATGTTGTTTCCTTTAGTTATTGTGAAAACCTGTTTGTTTGTTTCAGAGCAAAGCCACATTGGGCCATATGCTATTTCCACTGCAAGGAATTGAACTCCAAATTGTGGTGTTATAAGTGCCCAAACTTACTGCTGTCTCACAGTGGGACTTCTGAAAATTCTACGATTTTTTATATATCATGTTTAGTTTCCCAACTATGTTATTTCCTCTAACAGGATTAATATTGTCACAACTACGCTATTTCATCTAACAGGATTAATATTGTCACAACTACGCTATTTCATCTAACAGGTTTAGTACTGTCACAACTACGCTATTTTCTCTGACAGGTTTAGTACTGTCACAACTACGTTATTTCATCTAACAGGTTTAGTACTGTCACAACTACGTTATTTCATCTATCAGACTTAGTATTGTCATAATTACGCTATTTTTTCTGACAGGTTTAGTACTGTCACAACTACGTTATTTCATCTAACAGGATTAATATTGTCACAACTACGCTATTTCATCTATCGGACTTAGTATTGTCACAGCTATGCTATTTTCTCTGACAGGTTTAGTACTGTCACAACTACGTTATTTCATCTATCAGGTTTAGTACTGTCAATTAACTTATATAAAAAAGAAACACATTGAAATCAAGAAAACCTTAGATTAAAATACAAGTTCCATTTTTTGAGGAATTTTATTTCTCTACTTTATTGTTTTGTGAAAAAACATAGGATAAGATGCAGTGGCGTGTCAATTGTTGGGGATGAGAATGGGGCTAAGGTGGGCTTTGTTCCTCCAAAAAATTTTGGCTTAAGTATCTTTTACTCGCCTTATTCTTAAATATAATTTTTTCTAAGTACCTAATTGTATTTATATCTGTTTGACCTTAATAATTATGACCAGCAGCAAAATCACATGTACATAATATAAAATCTCATCTTTCAAAATTATAATAGGTCTAATTAAAATGCATTGGTTAATTCGACATGGAAAAAGGGCTAGACACGCTTCTGATAATAGGTGATTTTATTTTCTGTAACGTAATTCAAGACCAGGTATATATTACTGAATGATAGGCAGGCCAAATCTATTCTAGTGATTAACGCATTGTGATCTCCATACACGCTCCATACTTTCAGCTATAGGGACATTTATAATCAATTCGACTAAGTGTATCCATGTAGGCGATGAGTGCTTACCATCTCTCTGGTGAGTAGTTTCGATAACCCATGGTGTAGCTTGTGCTTAAGAACAAACAAAAAACTAAAATACACTGTACAAAAAAAAAGTTCATCTCAAAACTTTCCCGAACAAAACTTATGATTCTCAATGAGATTCTGGTGCTAGGATAACTTGAGTTGTTTAAACTTATGATTCTCAATGTTATCCTAGCACCAGAATCTTCATAAGTTTAAACAACTCAGGTTCTCAATGAGATTCTGGTGCTAGGATAACCTGAGTTGTTTAAACTTATGATTCTCAATTAGATTCTGGTGCTAGGATAACCTGAGTTGTTTAAACTTATGATTCTCAATGAGATTCTGGTGCTAGGATAACCTGAGTTGTTTAAACTTATGATTCTCAATTAGATTCTGGTGCTAGGATAACTTGAGTTGTTTTAATCTCATCTTTTGTATTTCGCGTGTTTTTAGATTTTTATCGCGTTGTGGCTGGTTTGTTTGATATGTTCAAGACCTGAAACGTTAAACAAATTCGTCAGTAATATATTGTTAATTAACTATTTCACCATTGTTATTATAGGCGGCAACAATAACCTTGCCAAAGTGATCTTTCAGAAGACAAAAGTTTAAGAACAGCCCTTTCCTTAGAACTTCCCACGTTCGTGCCCACGAACAAAATTCTTTGTATGACTTTCCTATGCCAAGGTCGTTCAGTTTATAAATTTATGTGTGAGCGTTGTACTTGATTGAAAGTACTCTGCTATTGGTCGGCATCGTACACATACACTGTATAGAAAAAATTATTTTACCAATTTTTTTTTTGTTCCGAAGGATAGGAGCTTGAGAATCTCAGCTAAGGTCATAAAGTGTTCGAAAACCTGAAACATTTTTCGTATAGTATTTGCTGTTTTGAAGTTTCAAGCATAACTTCTGACAATAGCTTACAAGAACAGCGAGATCAACTATCAAAGATGTAGAGCTTGTTCAGTGTGAGATCGCGGCTTGAACCCTGAATCTTCTGATCCATAATTTGTCATCCTAACGTCAGCTCCATGCCTACTATTATTTGAAATATGTAATAAATAATCAATTTTGACAAATAAACATAGTAGGTAGAGCATGTTCCAAAATATTATTTAGAAGTTTTAAACAGTGATGTATAGTAATAGAGCATCAGTTTAATAGCATGAATTATTAAAAGCCGTTGTCAGAATTACTTCATTGATAACCTAAGGTAAAGCATATCTGTTACTCTAAACATCATTATAATTAGGCTACTATCAACTTTCACTGGATTCCACAGAAACAGCCACTGGCCACAAAGGGTTAAAAAAGCAATTATAATAATTCATGTTTTCTTTTAGAGAGACAAGCGCGATTTTAAAGGGGGGGGGGAATGATTGCCCTCGGGGAAGTGGCATGAGAAAAACTAAATATTGTCCTATTTTTGTGAATCACAGTTTTCTATAGAATTAGACATTTGTTGGGTTGGTTCAGAACAAAGCCTCATTGGGCTATCTGCTGAGTCCATAGCGGGGAATCGAACCCAAGATTTTAGTGCTGCAAGTCCGTAAACTTACCACTGTCCCATCTGAGGACTGAGAAGTGGTAAACTGTTTTCAAATGTCAATGGTAATTGGTGTCAAAGTTAATAACTAAATAGCATTTATAATTTTTTTATTCTTCGTCTTTTCATTCGGATTACGGTTGAAATTTCTTTTTGTGTAGCTGAAGATATTTTATGTGCATGTAATTAAAAGTTATTAAAAATAAAATAAATATTGACATAGCACCATCGTATAGTCACTTTTACTATCAAATGTGTCATTGTTTGAAACCATATATTTTCCAGTTTGATCAGTATAGAAAGTGATATCGCATCACTAACACACGATAAAATCAAACAATTAGTGTTTTGTTTTAGAAAAAGTCTTTATAAATAATTTAATCATTATTAAATGCTATTTTCTATTAAGCCATGCTTAAAAACATCTACATTTTTACCACTACTTCGGGCCGGCATGGCCAGATGGTTAGGGTTCGAATCCCCGTCCCATCAAACATGCTCGCCATTTCAGCCGGGGGAGGGGGCGTTATAATGTGTCGGTCAATCCAACTATTCGTTGGTAAAAGTGTAGCCCAAGAGTTGGCTAAATTAGGGACGGCTAGCGCAGATAGCCCTCGTGTAGCTTAGCGTGAAATTCAAAAGAAACCACTACTTCCTGACATATTTTTCTACTTTCCACCTTAACAAAACATCGGTAAGTTATAACAAATGTTAACCTCTATTTCCAGAGTCTACTTTATTACGATCTAACTTTTCACCGTTTCGTTTCTGTATTTTACTTGTTTATTTCTAACAATAAACATTACGGTGGAGTAGAGTGAATGGATCTGGGTTTGCAGTGTGAATTTTATACGGTAAAAATAATAAAAAACGAACTTAAAATATATATCAAAGTTCATTGTTCCCAAAACTAGAGGAATTAAATATTTAACTGTCAAGCAAACATAGATTCAACAAATTCCCACTGAAACGACGTGTAAGAAATAAACAGAAAAGAGAAGAAGAATAGCCTGTTTAATACTAGTTTGTACAATTTTAATAAACAGCAACAAAATAATAATAATTACGCTACAATATATATTTACACATAAATTAATACATCTTTCCAACATATTTTACCAGTCTTCTTTGGCTCACAACTTATTGATATTTTTAACAGTTTACCAAAGTTTGAACAGTTTTATTTATGTACTTCTTTTTGTAATTACTTTTTATTGCATGATCACGTTGTTCTTATTAATATTCATAACATGAATTCTATAATTTATGGATATCTTCAAAATAAAACAGGTATTTTTTTTTGTAAAACATCAAACTTTACTGCTACTTGGAAGAATTACCTGATACTTAACCAATATAAACATATATCAGTATAGTACTAAGATGAACCTTCGCTAAGCAACTGACCAGATAATCTTTATTTCTAGTTCTCTTGTAAGAGAACTTAGTAAAAAACTGATCGCGTTATCTTTACTATATCTAGTTATGTTGTAAGGTATCCTAGTAAGCAACTGATCAGGTTATCTTTACTATATCTAGTTAGGTGTTAATACAACTTCGGAACAGCAGGTCAAATAACACATAAGAAAAGAAAATATATTTAAAACACAATTTACGCGTCAGAAAACATATTCAACTCAGATTTTTCCATCTCAGAGTTCACATCAGCTACAGTTGATGAAGAGATAAGTTTAGTTGTCGATTGATCATTTCCGTGGTAAGCTTCCACGTTTTGCACATCAATTAATGCTTGTCAGAATCGTAACGTTGCGAACACCGATTCCCGAAACACATTCTAATTGCACCGTCAACGTTTCGCCAATCTACTTACTCAACAAACAACCTGTATCCAACATTTCCAAGCAAAAACGTTTATTTCAAATAATGACGGCTTTGTCTTCAAAATTACGTTTTCTTGTAGATTAAAGAACTTTAATGGACTTCAACTGCCTGTTCTGGGAATAGAAGACGTCGTTTGAGCTTGTATAAAGAATAAAAGTCGAAGTGTCGTCTCCTTTTCTTTCAATAGGCAATTGCAGTCCATTAAAGCTCTACTCTACCATAACGTTCCACATTATGTCTTCCATCAACACGAACTTCACATTATGTCTTCCATCAACACGAACTTCACATTTCTAATACTATAATACATGTTCCCGCTGGAAAGGTATTTGAGTATCTTATTTCATGTGGAGCTATGACAAAAAAAATGTGTTTCATAAGTACAATTGGGAGTATTCTTTCAGCAACCCTAATAGACAGTAATCTAAACCATAATAATAATTACTAAATCTACTAAAGTGTATCATACAGTTTCTAATACTAGTAACTATGTCAAAAACCCAAAGTTATATCACATTGATGATAAGGCCTATGCAAACTATTTGTCTTTTGTCTTAAGGGTTTCCGTTATTGAGATTTTAAACCACTCAATACAGAAGAACTAAAACAAACATAAATAGGCTTGATAGTTCCATCTTAGTCCAGTTCGTATACAACAAGTTGATTAGCTATTAACTTCAAGACGTTTACTTTATGAGTCACACCAGATTAAAAAAACATTACATGTTGATAAACATTAAAAACGTTTTCCGTGTTTATAAACCATACTTAAAAGTTGTATTATACTAAAATGTAAGTCTAAGAGGATACTGATTTCTGTTCCAGTCGCTAGGCGGGAGCAACACCTTAATTTGAAAAGAAAGCATAATATGGCTTACAAATGATCAACAAATTACACGTAAAACAAGATATGGCTTTAAAATGTTCAAATTAAATAATTGAACCTTACGTCAAGTAAAAAAGAAAAACAAAACGCTAAAAAAGTTTGTAAAATGGAATAAATTTTCTGAAGATAAAAGGTGGGTGTGAGTAACATAAATTTTCTTTAAAAAATAAAAAACTAAATAAAATTCCAAAGTTATGGCCCAAAGCCAGTAATAGAGACCTTGACGATCCAGCTTTGCAATTTGTAATGGAAGTACGACATTTCGTTTGAGCCGAAGAATTTAAGAAAATAAATGTTTCTGTTTCGAAATCTGCTCAGCAACTCAAAAGGTATGTTGCTTCAGTGTCGAACGTGTTTTTTATCGACGAGATTCTCTAAGTATTTGGGAAAAGCTATAATTGGTGGGTTTAAACGTCCAGCGTTTTGCTCTGGCCAATGCTACATAATTACACACTATTAGTTAGGCTGTACATTTTACACCAGCTTCTCGTCTTCGTCTTTAGTCCACTTGAACTATCTTTCAAATCCCTCTTCGTCACATCATACTGCGCACAGGATTCAAAACTCCATATAAAATTCTATCTACTCGAAGAAGGTAGGTCAAAACAGGAGACTAGACGATAACTCAATTAGTCGACGAAATGATGTCATCACTAAAGATCTACTATTGGCATCACTCGAAACCTACACTAGATGGCGCGTCATTCAACAAGAGAGGAAGATGTATTGCGTGAGAAAGTATCTTCCAAGACCTATATCGGAAACAATTAATAATTGTTACTTAAATAAGAAATATATATGAAGACAAAGTTTGAAATATTCGTCTCCATACAATACATATATACAAAAGCACGTGCTACAAACGTGTCGATTCTACATCATATTAATTATAGATATTATAATTATCTAACAATTTTACACAAATCTTATTTACTTTAAAATATTTGTAATTACTAGGCTTAATCCAATACTACATTAAATAATTTTCAAAAGATTATTTACATATAAATTGAACATAGTCAATATTGCGTTAATAAAACATGTGCAGGTAATATTCTACAACTTGTAGTCATAGCAACACCTTTTTATGTTTTAGAAAATGACGTTGCTTCATTCTCAGGACACACTGTGACAAAAGCTTAACAATAAACAAAATAAAAAAACCACAAACAAATAAGAGCGATTAACTCTTTAATAAATTGTCTCTCCTAATATAATAAACTTTCTCCGAGATAAGACTGTAAAAAAAACGTCTATCCTTTAATAATCACGATCTCATTATACCAAAATGTTTACCGAGATAAGACTGTAAAAAGAACGTCTATCCTTTAATAATCTAGATCTTATTGTACAAAATGTTAACAGAGATAAGACTGTAAAAAGAACGTCTATCCTTTAATAATCTGGATCTTATTATAACAAAATGTTAACCGAGATAAGACTGTAAAAAGAACGTCTATCCTTTAATAATCTGGATCTTATTATAACAAAATGTTAACCAAGATAAGACTGTAAAAAGAACGTCTATCCTTTAATAATCTGGATCTTATTATAACAAAATGTTAACCGAGATAAGACTGTAAAAAGAACGTCTATCCTTTAATAATCTGGATCTTATTATAACAAAATGTTTACCGAGATAAGGTTGTCTAGTCCAAAAAGGTAGCCATCTTCGTGGTTTCCAACAGCCCATGGGTTCCTATGATTAATTACAACACCTTCTGGTAGAGGTTTCGTCTTAGCAAAGTCAATAAGCCAGGCGCTTACTTTTTTTGCGTCATGAACCAATAGTATACTGCTACCAATCACCTGAAAAAAAAGTGCAATTGATAATTGAAATGTTATATACCTATATATAATTTTTTCAATTCATATCAAATAGAAAGTTTTAATTTTTTAGTTAATTTTTACAACTATGATTACCTTATCTTACTATAACATTTGCATACACTGTTTTCGCTATTACTGACCTAATCTTTTATATCTTGTTTGTTTCTAACAAATGTTATGACGACAAAAATTCTGTTTCATCAACTTACTCCAAATATTCCCGACAGGTGGGGATATTGTAGTGTTCTATTTTTCCGACAGGTGGGGATATTGTAGTGTCATATATATATATATACAGATGTAAAAGTATTTGCTTGTTTGTAATTAAGCAAAAAGCTTCTTTATTTGTCCGCGTACTCCTTCGTGGTCTTTATACCAATTTTAACCAAACTTGGTAGGATGATACACTGGACCAAAGGGGGAATTATTACCCGACCCCACCCACCTCAGACCGCTCGTACAGGAAAAGTTTGTGTGTTTAACTAATGACTACAAAGTCTTGGATCGATTTTAATTCCTAAAAGTTTGGATTTTGAGTTTTTTCTTGAAAATATTTTTGTCAAACATGCACATTTTTGCCAGGAAAAATAAATTCCAAACCACGAGGTCAGATCCTTTACAGTGGTAGGGCCACATTTACAGTGGTAGGGCTATATTTACAATGGTAGAGCCACATTTACAGTGGTAGAACTACATTTACAGTGGTAGGGCTATATTTACAGTAGTAGGGCTACATTTACAATGGTAGAGCCACATTTACAGTGGTAGGGCTATATTTACAATGGTAGAGCCACATTTACAATGGTAGAGCCACATTTACAGTGGTAGGGCTATATTTACAATGGTAGAGCCACATTTACAGTAGTAGAACTACATTTACAGTGGTAGGGCTATATTTACAGTAGTAGGGCTACATTTACAATGGTAGAGCCACATTTACAGTGGTAGGGCTATATTTACAGTAGTAGGGCCATATTTGAAAACTTCTTGCTTTTCACCTGGTCAATTCTATGTTGGGTGTTCAAAGTAGGTTCACCAAGAAATCTCTTTATTTTGGCCCAGGAAAAAGGAAGAACTTGTAATGTAGTTTATCAACAAACACTGAGGCTGTAGAGAGGGATTAGTAGAAGTAATAAAGTAATGTAATTGTTGCACCATTTCTGTAATGAGGTATAAAGTAGGTGTATGTTAAATAGGTGTAAAATAAAGTAGATGTAAAGTAAATTACGTGTGAAATAAAGTAGATGTATGTTAAATAGGTGTAAAATAAAGTAGATGTAAAGTAAATTACGTGTGAACTAAAGTAGATGTAAAGTAAATTACGTGTAAATAAAGTAGATGTAAAGTAAATTACGTGTGAAATAAAGTAGATGTAATGTAAATTACGTGTGAATAAAGTAGATGTAAAGTAAATTACGTGTGAAATAAAGTAGATGTAAAGTAAATTACGTGTGAAATAAAGTAGATGTAAAGTAAATTACGTGTGAAATAAATTATGGATATAAATACAAACTTTTGATTTAATTTATTAGTTTAAACCCTACATTCAATCCTTATGTCTCCGGTGCCTCAGCTTGTATATAATAATTTTAAATTGATTACTCTTATAGATCAAGGTTTTTCTGACCTTTAAACGCCATAATAAATATAACAAGCTTACCTCATGAGAATGAAAGAAAGAAGAGTGTTCACATTTCTTCCGTATGACCTTCAGTCTATCTATAAGTTGACCAGACACCTTCTCATTGTCACTAAGGAAAAGCTTCATGGTAGCTCTAACGTCCTCTTTTGTTTTGACCAGTTTCAGATCTTTAGTCTGAGTCTTCTGTTCTGTCTAAAAAAAAACAAAAAAACAAGCGAAACGTTTAATGTAGAAGTATAAACCTCATGACCCTGAATGGTTAACACCAAACAACAAGGTCAGACGTTTCTAGAAACTTTTCACCAACACCTATTTTTCTGCTTAAGTTCCATTAAATTTTGCTTCATTAATGAAACAGTTGAAAGCACAGAAAAGTCCATTAGATTATAGCATTACTCAAGTGATCAAAATACTTCAAAGCCTTAAACTTTGATATTGGATCGGATCAGAAATAGCCATGACATGTCTTGCGTGGATATACACCTGAACTGTCACTGTTAATTTTAAACAAATTTCGAACTAATTAACTACGTTAAATTTTCCAACAACCGAGTTTAAATATATCCGTTTTTTAAATAAGTTCTTTAGACTTAGTCAATGATCGAACCAACCAATCACATTACGTCTTTCAACAATAAAGTTTAAATACATCAGTTAGCTGTTCTTTAGATTTAATCAGTGGGACGAATGACATTGTTATTCATCTTATTATCCTACCTTAAATCCTTCGATTCTAAATCCCAATGTTGATGAGGAACTGAGATTTTCTCGAAACTAGAAGACAAGAGAAGAACTGGTTACTTCTAACTTTATTTAATTTTCTTTTTATAAATAAGGACATAATATAAGACATTCCACTCTCTCACTAGTTCATGATATATAAAAACATAAAATATGTTTAATTTACACGACTTTCTGTTTAACAAATCAATGTTTGCAACTCATTAAGTTAATTTCTCTTAGAGTGTTGATTTCAATGTTTAAGCTTCCACCAAGAGTTGTTTTGTTATTTCTTAACAAACACTAAATACAGCATCTAAAAAAGTAGCGCATACAGGCGCACTGTAATACTTATGTAATAAACCATAACAGTTAGTTTTCGGATACTCGTGGAAAGCTACACAGTGGGATATGACTAACACCCATGTCTTATAACATACCCATTATCACAAAATGTGGATCGCGAGCTTACAGAAATGAAACATGAACTGTGGATCCTCGGTTCACAGTCCGGCGCGTTAGCCGTAAGCCACACTTGGCCCTAAACTACAACAAAAAAGGAAACCTTATCTAGTTTAATGCAGCATTAAATGACTGTATGGCTCTATCTTTCATCACATGGCTAATTTGTTTAATTATAGTAAGTTAATGAATCATGTACCTACACGAAAAAGCAGAAATCTATCAAACTAAGTTTCTAAACTTCTCAGTAGATGGCACCCCAATCATGCTGGTTTCAAGGCACTGCGAAATGAACCGGATGTCACACGCTTGTAGTGAATTAAGTGTGAAAGAAGTACCACAAGCTGTATTGGCAAAATGTTTAATAGATTAAAAAATACTAATTTATTCATTAAGTTTCTTACCTGCATATATCTTAGTTTGGTTATTGTTCCAGATTCTCTTTCTTCTGCTGTTGGGGCGTTAGGATCGACTTTAACCATTTTCTCGTATAAATCTGCCCTGGCCTTGGTGTTTTGCACTTCAATTTCGAGAAACGTTCTAGCATAAAATAAACATAGCGTTAATTTCCTAAATGATTGGTAAGTCTAGAAATATTGTGAGTCATTTGAAATACTCAATAACGTTATCTTGTGAAACACGCGAAATCATTTATCATTCGCGACGCAACTTTAATAAACAGACACAGAAAGAATTCTGTCAAGAGAGAATCACTTGTATTCCTTTACTGCCTGAATTGGCTTAATACTCAATTAAATACATTTGTACAACATGGAAAGAGTCATGAAACTTCAGTTTAATTTTTCAAAAATTTACTAGAAATTACAAAATATGTTTAGTAAGGATTAAGAGATTTTTGATATAAGACAAAATAAACATTATTTGGCCCCTTGATCTATAGTATCATGAACCACTTTGATACAGAGCTACACAACACTTTGTTATATAGGTATAAAGCACTTTGTTATAGAGATATAGAGTACTTTGGTACAGAGATATAAAGAACTTTGTTATAGAGCTACAGAGCACTTCGTTATAGAGATATAGTGCTCTTTGGGATATAGATTATTTTGTTAAAAAGCTGTACAATACTTTTTATAGAGCTAGAGCTTAAATTTGTTACAGAGCTACACCTACTTTGTTATAGATCTACAGAGTACTTTGTTATAAAGATATTGAGTACTTTATTATAGAGCAACAAATTACTTTTTTGTAGAAACATAGAACTTTTCGCTATAGAGCTACATATTATTATAGGGGTATACAGCACTTTTCTATAGAGCCACAGAGTACACTGTTATAAGGCTACATACAATTTTTCTATAGAACTACAGAACAGTTACATATAGAATCACATTGCTATAAAGATAAAGATCACGACAGAGCTCTAGAGCTACAGAACGTGTATCTGAGTTTAAGGTGTTCTATATAGCGCTAGAGAACAACACAAATATATAAACAGTACGTGAAAATTCTTATTACATACCTAGTCCCCATCTTGATGTCCATTATAGCAGGATTTGTGAAGCCATACAGGAGATCTTGTATTTCCATAAAATCTGATTACAAATAGTTAAAAAGCCATAGCCTAAATATAATCAAAGGAATGTTTATAAAGATCTAATATTTAATAACACTTTAGTTTGACTTTCATATTTTTATTTAAGATTACAACATAGAATATACGTTCATTTTGAACAATAAAATATTAAATTGTCTCAGGAGGTTGAAAAATGGTATCCTAAACACGAATGTGCATAATTCATCTCAAATTTTATTGAATTAGGTATTTTTATTCTTTTTGAAATTATAATTCGCGTTAAGAAGTCAGCTCATGTAGTAACGTTTTTTTTAACCTATGAATTAAAGGATACTTTCTCCGTTGTATTCAACATCTCGGTAGAACTTCGGGACCACGTCCGCCATGCTATCCTGCATTAACTCCTTATAAGCCTGAACTTCACTCTCATCTGAATTTCTTTTCTTCCATATAGTTCCTGGTCCTGCAGGAGCTAAGGACCCTACAAACATGAAAAACAAAGGCCTTTTTTAAAACTTAGGATCTCCACAAGATTAGGTAATAGTTAATCTTTAATATGCACTACCTGAAAGTCGACATTGTTGGTAACTTCTTAACTACACTGTTCGAACTAAAACAGACGCTAATGTCGTGTGATACTTGTTAGTCACTTCTTAACCACACTGTTCGAACTAAAACAGACGCTAATGTCGTGTGATAGTTGTTAGTCACTTCTTAACCACACTGTTCGAGCTAAAACTGACACTAGTGCCGTGTAATAGTTATTAGTCACTTCTTAACTACACTGTTCGAACTAAAACTGACACTAGTGCCGTGTAATAGTTGTTAGCCACTTCTTAACTACACTGTTCGAACTAAAACTGACACTAGTGCCGTGTAATAGTTGTTAGCCACTTCTTAACCACACTGTTCGAGCTAAAACTGACACTAGTGCCGTGTAATAGTTGTTAGTCATTTCTTAACAACACTGTTCGAACTAAAACTGACACTAGTGCCGTGTAATAGTTGTTAGCCACTTCTTAACTACACTGTTCGAACTAAAACTGACACTAGTGCCGTGTAATAGTTGTTAGCCACTTCTTAGCTACATTGTTCGAGCTAAACTTACACTAGTGCCATAGCAGCATTTTTTTATAGTTGAGAAAATAAAGGTTTTTTTTATTATTACTTCAGATATTTTCGTTATTTATTGGTTTTCAGTAGTGAATAAAACAAAACCATCTAGAATAATTAATTTTTTTATTTCGTCCTTTCTTAGTGACTAATGCTTAATTTTTCTAACTAAAGCAGGACTTACCCTCATGACCAGAGAGTTGTATCCAGTTGTTGTTTTTATTCCTCAGTAACACGTCACTGGCAGGAGCACTTAGTTCCAAGGCATTCTGGGTAAAACAAAGAAAATTAATCAACCTCATTCTTAACCTGATGGAGGTAAGATCTAAAGCTAAAGGTCAAAAGTGTCCATAATTACTGTATACATGTTGTATTCGTTTATTTCCTAAAGTAACTGAACCGACAAGACTAACTAGTGTTTATAAAACTCGGTGTTGTATGTTACACTGATATGTATAATACGTATTAGAAAGATGACCTCTGACAAGTTAAATTTATTATTTTCCACTTGAACGTAAATAGATTTCTGATTTTTACTTTTAGGTTTTGGTTTTCTTTACATATATCAATATTCATTCTTCTCTTTAACTTTGGTTGAAACTTCGTTATTAACCGATCTTAACACTACCTTGAATTTACACCATTTATCACCACCTAGAGGATGTTTTCACCACTTTTTGAAGCTATGAAGAAATTGGTGAATTTGATTTGATTAAACCAAACATATACTTACAACTGCGAGAATCTGTAGTAGCGTTAAGCCTTCTACATCAAGGTTTTCGATTGACCTGGCCTTTTCCAGAACGTCAAACCCGAGCGACACACCGCTGTCTGTACTTTCATTAAGTTTCATTTTCTGTCTACTTCCTCGGAAGGCTCTCCTGGCAATCTGCTTCCATTTTTTCCTGGCAATTTTCTTGTTGGTCTCATTCTGGTTGTCTTCCTTATGTTTGATAATCTTGGTTGGTTCTGCCTTTTTAGCATCTCCATTACCAGTGGCCTGTAGCAAAAGATATTCAATAATTATTATTTTTTATTATTAAACTTTTTACCTACTTAACGATTTTCACGGAAATACACAAACCTGGCAATCATGCTCATCATCATTGCCACCTTTACCATTAGAAAATTCACACGTTTCTGTGGCTTGTTGAAACGAAACGGCCTGTACATCGATACTTCTTCTTGAATCCTCTTGACGATCCTTTTCTTCCCTGCTCTGATTTGAGCCCATTTCTAAATACGATCCTGTAATCTAAGACCTAAAGATTAGCTGTAGAAGGAGGCAGTCTATAGTGATGTGTAAACCAGTCCAAGCCTGCAACCGACAGGATCCTGAAGATAAACTAGTATAAAACACCAACATCGAGTTGGCTTCTTCCTAGACTCTAGTACACTAGAGAAAACCGATAATTTGATTACCTTAACTGGATTATCTACACGTAATGCTTCAACAAGCATATACATGTTTTCTGTTATTTAAAATTTTCGAAATGTCAAGGAAACATTCGAACCAAACGTTTTGAACGTGAAATGAACATTCTGAAAATCGAACAAAAATCTACTGTAGTTTGAGTGCATAATATACAGAGAGAATTAATTATAAACGAACACAATTAAAGAATCAACGATTTATTCGTCAGATGATCAACACAAATGGAATAAACAAGTTATATTTTATTTCACAAGACACTTTCTTTTCTTCAAGCAAGTATTCAAAGTTTAACGTTCCTTATTTACTAATTGCACAAAGTTCAGGACGTTAGTGACAGAACGACAGTTTTTTTTTGTTTACAGAATAGAGCATGAAGACTTGTAAATTCTTCTTGAATATAAGTTTTCATCGTGATAATGTTTACAGGCTTGTGTGAATATACTTGAATGTAAGTTTTCATGGTGTTAATGTTTACAGGCTTGTGTGAATATACTTGAATGTAAGTTTTCATCGTGTTAATGTTTACAGGCTTGTGTGAATATACTTGAATGTAAGTTTTCATCGTGTTAATGTTTACAGGCTTGTGTGAATATACTTGTTCTTTCGTTATTCATCCTCCCGCGCGCACTGGCACAGCAGTATGTCTGCAGACTTACGACACTAGAAACCGGGTTTCGATACCAATAGTTGGCAGAGCACAGATAGCCCATTGTGTAGCTTTGTGCTTAATTACAACCAAGTAATGAGTGATTTTTATTAGGTTAATAACTCATGACTATAACTAGCCGTACATTAGAAAATCCCCCCCCCCCCCCCACAGTGGCACAACGATAAGTCTGAAGGCTTATAACACTAAAAGCCGAGTTTCTATACCGATGGTAGGCACAGCATAAACAGCCCATTGTGTAGCTTTGTGTTTAACCACAAACATTAAAAATCCTGGCATTAAATGTTGCCACCATATAATAATTCATTAAACAAACAAATATTTAAATCTATAAAATGAATACATTTATATGCGCTAGTACAGTTCTAGACCGTTCTCAAATGAGGTTGTGTTGGACAGAATTCCTTCTTTCATGACTTGCTTTTACCTTGTTTTCAGTTGTAAAGATGCAAGTCATGTTTTAAATTCATATTGACTGTAATCTGAACAGAATTAGTTTATTTGATTTTGCAGTGACTGGCTTCCTGTGACTTTCTATCTTTTTACGTGACCTGCCCATATTCATCAAAAATTTTAACAAAATAATTGTCTCTAATCCAGCTAGGTCAAGTTAGCATGTACACGAAACACGTGTAGTTAGCTTACCTAAAACTGATCACGTAGAAACTTTTAGTGAGGTTCATGTGAAGTTATTTTAAAAATAATCTCATTGATACTTTCAACTCCTAATCACATCAAAATCTTCTCCCTGAGAAGACAAAATTTCATTGTGAATTTCATCAGTAAGGTGAATCATATGTAATGTTTTAGAAGAAAATAGAAAACATTCTCTTTACTCAAATGGGCAATTGAGCACTTTTATATCTGGAACAGCTGTACGTTTATGGACTAACAACGCTAAAATCTGGGGTTCGATTCCCTGCGGTAGACACAACAGATAGCCAAATGTGGCTTTGCTCTAAAATAACCAACAAATCAGTCTCAGCTTCTTGGGGGCGCTATTTAGCTTGCAAACAAACATCAGTTGCATGTTATAGAAAATCAAGCTAACACTACCGCGAGCTTTATACGTTATCGTACTAGACCTCTTAACAGTTAGAGTATAACGATGTTATATTTGGTATAAAAATCACCCAAGAAACTGGGACGAGAAGAGTAAAAACCTGATCGAACTTACCGGAAGACTTGCAGTAAATGATTTCATCTTGAGAGAGAGGTACTGTGTGAGTACTGCCCACGAAGAGCCAGGAAACAACATCGTTATGGAACAAGACTCTTTTCACAGCAGCAGATCGCTTAAATTTAGCTGATAAACAACAACAGACTTAAAATGGCGCTCTTTCAAAAGCTTCCGTTAAACGAACACGGTATCTTTACGACCCGTACACACGTGCGACTCGACTACCAGCCCGCCTTTCTTCTTGGTACTTACAAAGAGTGAAGTTTATGTTTCCGTGTTCCAAAGCTCTGTCATGACGGACAGGGTCAACACTGACGCTGAACTATATTTACTACAAGTAGGCTTAATTTGTTGCCTTGAGTCAACCCTAAAGGTGATCAGGTTCTCCTAACACAGTTGCAGATCTACTGTTCATGCAGAACACTTAATCGAGTGTTTAAAACGGCCCTGGCTGCGAGAACGGACATCCGAGTGTTATCAAAATCCGTTGACCCAAGTTTGACGTCATACTTCTCGCATAAGTAGTAGGGCGTAGCCTTGTGTTTCTTGTTGCTATGGCAGCGAAAAGACTACCTACTAGACCGTCTGTCTGCGCTTGAATACAAATAGTACACGAGCGTTCGTCAACAACATGGGAAAAATGTAAACGTACAGGGTCAAAGGAATCTATCACGTGTATTGGTTCTACAAACATGACGAAGAGCAATGAAAAAGAAGCAACTGTAGAATATACCTCAAAATTAATAAACACATTGTTTGCATTATATTTTACAGTGGAAGTCTCTTTCCACTGTAATGCAACAAGGCGTGAATTGAACATCAAAAGTTTAGAGTATATAACAGTTTTAATAAGATGATATTGTTGTTGTTGTTTTGTTAGAGGGTTAGTTTACATTATTTGGTGAGAACAACACAACGTCTAGCCCACAAAAGGATAACAGATTAGTTTAGTTCCGCATTTAACTTTTCTACAAGCTTAAACATTGTGCTTAGTTGTAGATTCAAATACTTCACTAAAAATGCACTAACTTTTTCACTTTCAAAATACACTAACTGGTTCACTTTAAAAATACACTAACTGGTTCACTCTAAAAATAGACTAACTAGGCCACTCAATCGTTAGAAACAACTCTCTGTCTTCTTGACTATCATCTCTGAGCCTCATATTCATCATCTAACCTCTAATTTACTAGAAAGCTTGATATCATAGCATTAGAAATTTCTAGGCCTATATTAATGAACTTTTAGATCTTAACGCCATCATTACGACCCGCAGCTCCCTCTAGCTAACAAATAAATTATAACATTAAATATATGGGTTGAAGTCTCTTAAACAATCCCAATACAGAAGTAAACTCGCACACTACATTTTTCATTCACTAAATCTTTTTAATGGTTTTCTTTTCCGAGACCCGTAGTATACAGATGGGATTCCGTCCTACCCCTTATTGTCCTGACCCCTTGTTGTCCTGAGTAGGTGGTCAAGTGAATCTAATGACGGCTCTATGCTTGATGATCCTCTGAAGGTGGTCAAGTGAAACCACAGACGGCTATACACTTGGTGATCCTCTAGAAGTAGTTTCCACAGAAACTCAGGGTTCTTCCATGGCTTGAAGTTCCGCTGACAAGTTCTTCTTTGTAGATACGCAGTTTGTTGTGTCCATGGCTCTAATGATGACATCTTTATTTTTCAAATCCATCACGACATACTGAAGTGTTTGGTTCTATTACAGCCCAGTCACTATAAGTAATTATAAGGTTAACAAGTCCTGGTATACTTCTTGGTGGTACAATGACTAGCTCAGTATCTGGTGTAGTAATTTCTATGTAGTACCCAGGGATTTCACGGTCATAGACTGTGAAGCTAGCTTAACCTCACATTCGTTTCTCCGCATGAAATCAATTCCCAATATGCACTCTTCCTCGATTTCAATTAAATATACATCATGAAGAATAGAAAAGTTTCTTATAGCAAAGGTAACTTTTAATTTTCTTCTTGTCAGATCCTCACGTTCACTTGCATCACTCTCTCTTCTTTATTCATATCTGGAGGTAGTTTACCACCTTTAACTATTGTAGCTGTAGAATCATGGTCGATCCCATCAATTAAACCGGTTTCTTTAAACAAGGAAGTCCTTCTTTCATTTGGAGCAGATAGAGTATTTTCAGCTCAACCATGCATCAAAAGTTCAACTAATTTTTATTTCCTAATGTCTGGTTAGCCCTTTGTTGTTCCTTTGATCTGGTTGAGCTCGAAGACTCATTCTTGAGATATTGTCTCTTAGGAGTCTTAACAAATGTTGATCCCTCATAGTATTGGCTTTAATGGCCAGGTTTTGTACATCTATAACAATTTCCTCTTTGGGAGGAGTTCTTATTCCCTAAAAGATTTTCTTTGTAATTCTTAGCAATATGTACTTTCAAGTTACATTTGAAGAACCTTGAATAATCTTGTCGTCAGTCAGACTTATTTTTGCTTTTAATTCTTTTGAAAATAGTAGGTCTCATTATTTTATTCCTCTTTTAATTTCTGTCATGTTCTTCTTTGTCTTTTTTAATTTTCTGTCTCATTCTTGCCAGTCTTCTTTCAATTTTCTATCTCTTCTTCTAATTTTCTATCTCGTTCTTCACGATCTTCTTTAAATGCCCTTTCTCTTTCTGTTCGTTATTCTTTCAATTGTTTTATCATATCTAGCAGGTTTCCTATCTCTTTCTACACCTTTGTGCTCATCTTGAACGTTGTAACGTTGTTCTTTCGTTGCCAAGATCTTTTGCAATACCTGATGAAAATAATTAAACGTCCACTCTACGTAACGATAACAAATTAGTTTATTTCTTCCTTTAACGTTCTATAAGTTTAAAAACTATATTAAGTTGTAGGCCAAGTCCACAGTCACGCTAACTGCACTACACTAACGTAAAAAAAAACAAAAAACTTGTAAACAAATAATTCAGTATGAGCGATTGCTAAAAGAGATTCAAATACTTCACTAAAGAACACTTTGATTTATTCACTACATTGGCTAGAAACTACTCTTTATCTTTTTAGCTCTCTTCTCTGAACCTCGAATTTGTCATCTACCCTCGAATATACTAGAAAACGTGATGCCAAATCTTCAGAAATTCATAGGTCTATATTAATAAACCTTTAGATCTTAATGTTATCATTTCGACCCTTACACCCTTCAAGCTAACAAACAGTAGATACATTCAGTTCTTTTCTAAGGTATTGTTTCTTGCTGTCTTTCGAGAATATATTGTTTCATACAGTAAGTTTTCTAAGGTATTATTTCTTGCTGTCTTTAGAGAAGATGTTGTTTCATACAGTAAATTTTCTAAGGTATTGTTTCTTGCTGTCTTTCGAGAAGGTATTGTTTCCTACAATAAATTTTCGAAGGTATTGTTACTTGCTATTTTTGGAGAAGATACTGTTTCATACAATCGGTTTTCTAAGGTATTGTTTCTTGCTGTCTCTGGAGAAGATATTGTTTCATACAGTAAGTTTTGAAGGTGTTGTTTTTGCTGTCTTTGGAGAAGATATTGTTTCAAAAAGTAAGTTTTCTAAGATACTGTTTCTTGCTGTCTTTGGAAAAAAATATTGTTTCATACAATAAGTTTTCTAAGGTATTGTTTCTTGCTGTCTTTGGAGAAAATATTGTTTCATACAGTAAGTTTTCTAAGGTGTTGCTTCTCGCTGTCTTTGGAGAAGATATTGTTTCATACAGTAAGTTTTGAAGGTGTTGTTTTTGCTGTCTTTGGAGAAGATATTGTTTCAAAAAGTAAGTTTTCTAAGGTATTGTTTCTTGCTGTCTTTGGAAAAAATATTGTTTCATACAATAAGTTTTCCAAGGTGTTGTTCTTGTTGTCTTCGGAGAAGATATTGTTCCATACAGTAAGTTTTCTGAGGTATTGTTTCTTTCTGTTTTTGGAGAAGATATTGTTTCATACAGTAAGTATTCTAAGGTATTGTTTCACACAATAATTTTTCATAAGACATTATTCTTTACAATTATTTTCCTAGGGTGATGTTTTGGAGCATTCTTCTACAAATATATTGCTTCGGCCTCTTTCTTAAGATATTGTTTCACGTTATTCTTTTCTGTAGCTATTGTTTCTTGCTGTTTCTGGACTAAAATATTGCTACATACATTCTTTTTCTTATGTTATTGTTTCGAAGAAGTTTCTGGAGGTATTATTTCATAAAGTTTGTTTCCTAAGATGTTTCATACAGTGCTTTTCAAAAAACAAAAATTATTTACGTATATCTTTTTTCATAACACATTTAATAACATAGGAACTTTCTTTGATATTTTCTTACGTAACCCTCTTTTCAGATGATGGAATGACATTTTTTATCAGTTCAGATCACGTTTTCTCTTTTACGTGTCCTATTTATATCTACTTATGCTTTTGTTTGTTTGTAATTGTGCACAAAGCTACACAATGGGCTATCTGTGCTCTGCCCACCACGGGTATCGAAACCCTGTTTCTAGTGGTGTGTAAGTCCGCAGACACACCACTGCGGGGGGGGGGGCATCTACTTATGCACTGTCTTGTGAATAATAATATTCATGGTAAGCAAATCAGTTAAAATGATAAAACTCATTTACAAAAAAAGAATATTTTGTGAACTAAAAACAACGTTTTAAAAGTAAGTACTTTGATTCTTATGTATTTTCTTTAAATTCTTTAAAAATATTCTAATGTATGAATAATTCATTTTGAGACCGCTAACTTAATGTTCTTTTTAATTACTTTAAAGACAAGTGGAACCAATTTTATATTTATATCTTGTTCTTCAAAAGTTTAACAGATAAAATAAACCTCAGAATATAGGAAGGATAGTGTTTTGTTCACAATTAAGAATCCGTGTCCACCAAAGTAAATAGCGTATCAAGAGTGTTATGCTGTACAAGATCTTGCGTTAAATTTACTTTTCACCTTATAATTAAAGTTGAGATGTTCTGTGTATCTTTAAGGTTCTGAACATTAAGATTCATTCCAAAGATAAAAAAAGATCTTTGTGGCTTTCATTATTTGTACAGATTCCTCATCCTCAGGTACTTTACTGCAAACAACGAATCTTAAAAAGACAGTAATAAGTCTATTGTGTACCTCACTAACAAACCACAGCATGCCTGATATTCACGTCACTGAGTACGTGCTGAATAGAAAGGAAAGTCGGCTTTTGAAGGGTCTGAGTATTTTTCACTGGTTTACTAGAAGAGTTGGGGTTCTGACATCATCAAAATTTTAAGAACGTGCCTAAAGTAGTAATAACATCACGCTGACTTATAATATGCGGTTTTGATTGGCTTCTCTATCGCTTATTTACTTGTTAGTCAAATAGTTTCCACGTGAATGATTATTTTTTTCTAATCTAAATTATATGTATGTTGTGATTCAACCAGGATCTAACAGAAAAGAGGAGGAAGGAAGTTTACCCTAGTTAAAGGTTAGGATTAATAGGGGGCAATGACCTAATCCAGATATTTCGATGGAATACAGAAAGAACTTGTCTCAATAACGTTTCGTTTGACGAGGATGGTAGCGTAAACGTTGCGATGAAGTTCAAATGATGAACGGAAAGTTTCATT